TCATATTGCATATTATCCGACTCGGCTGATGAAGAAGAACACAACGACACCATTTTTGAAGCTCTAGCTTCATTGTCTGTCGCGTTATCTGGAAAAACGTAGTTTGACCTTAGTTGAACTTAACCCTCGCCCGCACATGCCATTTTCCCATCCTAGAACGCACATGGGGGGGGGTGGTTGCCACCCCCCCCGCGCCATTTCGTTCCTGTTGGAGATAGAGCTTAGCAGTAAAGACCAAAAAGATTCTTTGGGAAGAGACGAATCCAATGATACCCAGTTTTACCTTCTCAGGTCAGTCATTGACCTTCCAGGTCAGGTCAAACTAAAAAATGTTGCTGTTTTGGGTCACCGTTGGATATCAAGTGCGCTGCTTATCAAATACCGATGACGATGCTGAAAAACATCATCTCACGCTCTCAGTCCCAAAGCTTGTCCAAAAATAAGGCCCGGGGTTCGAGTCCCCGTACAGCCCAATTCTTTAACGAGCTTGCAAAAGATGACGGATGTCATCACTGTCAACCGTGGAAGCCGTATGGCTCCCCTCTACGCTGGAGTACGAAAAACATCATCTCACGATGCTGTTTTCTGGTGCCAAGCCAGCTAGAACCTCTTTGTCGCACTATCCGACCAGAATTTTGCTGCTGAGGTCATTTCAGGTCAAGTTAGGTCAAGGTCAATTATATGTGTTTGTATGTCTGTGTGTGTCTGTGTGTATACTGATGTGTGCACCGATTGTTTTTGGGTCCATATCACATGAAATCATGTTCTGAGAAGCTTTTACCAAAAATGCAGTCAAAAAACTTCACAAAAAGTAAATTCAGCTTCCCTAAAACGCAATTATCTTAGATGACCTAGGTTGACCTTGACCCTGACCTTGACCCCTGTACATCGTCGAACAACATGTTCCATGATAGGTGGGAGCCGGGAGGTAAGACTGGCAAAAAAGGCCGAAATCAGGGTGTCAAAAGCTCACAAGGCCCATGGCAAACGCAAGATGTTGAGAATTGGCCATTTGGGTCATGACATGACCTGAAAAACAAGGTCATATCTCCGAAACCAAAAATCACAGAAACTTGAAATTTTCAGTGGACATCAAGAAAGGATAGACGAGCAGCTATACGAAAAATCAGCCTTCTAGCTCTAAAAATGTTGAGTGCAGAGCAGAAAGACTGCCGGGGGGGGGGGTGGCAACCACCCCCCCCCCCATGTGCGGGCGAGGGTTAAAGGGACTATCCCACCTTCTAAAATGTTGTTAAAACCAGTTAAATTGTGCCCGACTTTATAGATTGGATGACCAGGAACACGGTTCTGGCATTTATTTTTCATTAAACATCTTAGGCTTCCCATATTCCAAACACAAACTTTCAAATATGTGACGTCACAGCCCAAAATTACCTCCTTCCCCAGGCCACATTACTGTCATAAAGCTGATTCTTTTTACTCTGTAGGCACCACAACAAAGTTCAGACCATGTGTTAAGCGATTTTTCAACGAACAAACCTTTTTAAATCAGAATGACTAAACGAGGTGACGTCACACTAACGACCGCTCCATGTTGAAGATAGGGCCTTGTACAAGGCCCATTTTCAAATGAAGGGAACGAATTTCTTCAACATCAAGAGGCCGCGGGGTTGCAACCTAGATAGATAGTGGTTTCTGAACCTCGCCGCAAACTTGGCTATCTCAACTCAAACCCCATGTTAAAGGTGGGATAGTCCCTTTAAGTGGCATGACTGGCTTTGTCTATGATAACATGCTTATTTTCGAAATTTATCTTTGATCTAGGTGTAAACCAAACCTGCTCAGTACCTTTTATCTCATGGAAAACGTGGTTTAGTGGCATTGCTCTCGGTTGGGGGTAAGCTTGGCCACTCGCCCGGTGTTACCCCAATGTGCTAATTTTTATTTTAGAACAGCGATATTCGAAAAAATGTCATACTTAAGCCAGCCCGCCTCGTCACCTCTCACTACAAACACTTAAACGGTCCTTACATAACATTCGTATAAATATTAGTACTGTATGGTATAACATTAACAGTGCAAGATATCTCACTTTTTAGCTAAAAACCCTTAAAATATAATTTTTGCGCTATAACTTTAACCCTCGCCGGCACAGGGGGGTTGATGCACCCCCCCTAAGTTTTTTTCGCGAATAACTCGCGTAAAAAGCGGCCGATCGCGACGAAACTTTCAGTACCCTCGCATTGATCAATTTTACACCTACCCTGAAAATTTCATGACCCTGACCCAAATGACCTTTGACCTGTGACCTCTTTTCCGAGACCATGTTTGGCCGGAATCGCGATTCGGCGTATGTCGGCTCGCATTAGCCGCGCGTTTGCAAGCTTTTCGTGGTTTCAAACGTTCAAACATGTGATTTGATGTTGCTCCCATACATTAGGGTGGGTGTCAAGGTCACCTGAAGGTCAGGTCAGGTCATTGACCTTTGGTGACCTCGGGTGACCTCGGTTCACTTTTTCGAGTTTTACATGTTTCTAGGGTAGTTTTTGGATATAGCTGAATTCGAATTTGGCAACCATTTGAACATTTACGAAGTAGTTTTGGTGCCTTCGTAACATGTTACGAAGCTGTCAGAGGCGGTTGACACGTATTACAAATAGGTACCCGTCACAACCCCTACCGGTTGACCTGACCTGACCTGACCCGACCTGGTCTAAATGCTTCAAGACATCATCTCTGATCAAAACTAACACGATATTTGTGATCAGCACCCCGGAAAACCACATAGCAGCCACACTTTACGACTTTCTAACAGGTCCCGATTTTCCCGGTTTTCGGGTCATTGACCTGACCTGGAAGGTCACCCGATGACCTAGGACCTTAAAATTGGGTATCACCGGCTTCCTCTCGTGACGGGCAACACGCTCCTTTTTTCCGCGAAGCTCTAGCTCGATCAGGGGCCAAACGCGAGGGGGGTCGTACCAACCCCCCCCCCCCCCTTGTGCCGTCGAAGGACGCAAAATGGCCTGTGCCGGCGAGGGTTAACAGTATGCAATTTTTGTCAGCCTTAACTTTTTTGCTGGCGTTACCTTAGCTGCCACGCTGAGCATTTTATTGTGAATAATTTAGCCGGAAACGGGGTGGCCGGGCTTCCCCCGCGCCCGGGCTTCCCCCGGCTTCCCCTAATGAGGTCATGGATGACTACAAATTGTATTTCTCGGAATTTGGATATCGATGACCTAAGGTCAGGTCAATTTCTTGACCTCCCATCCTATAAGTCAATGGGGGAAAATCAACCCCTGTTTCCCCCTAAAACGCGTCGGAATGGCCCAATATACCATGAATGACTTCATATTCGATCAACCTTGACTACCTTGAGGCCTTTTATGCTTTTGAGCGGCTGTAAGATCATGTGACGTCATCAAAGGTCACCCAAGGTTTTTTTTTGCTAATAACTCCTTACAGGAACAGGATACAGCCGCGGGGTTGGTCTCATTGTGTTCAGCTCGTCAAGGCGCATCGAATGATATACATGATGACCTTGAGGTTACGTGACCTAAGGTCAACCTTTCCTTTGACCTTGACCTTTCGAGGTCAACACATATATGATTCGATGCGGATCGACGAGAGGATCACGATTTTTTTTTTATAAATTTAGTCCGAACCTTTTAATTGGAAGGATTCACAAGGACAGAGCCCCCGCTAAAGCGAAGCTTGTTGCGTTGACCCTGTCCTCTACCCTTCGATCGGGCAATGCCGGACGTATGGCAGAATTTAGAGTCCAAAGTTTAACGTGCGCACATAGCCGCGCACGGCCGGTCCCCTCACTGACTTTGTCTGGCTACGGCCTGCCACCAACCGCGACCATGCCTGTCAGGAGTCCCAAAAATGTCAAGCGCCCGTCGTGCTTCGAACCCGGACTGTTGTAACCGGGAACGCGTGCTCTCACCACGCGGAGTCCAACGCTCTACCGACTGAGCTACGGGACCGGGACTACGATGGTGCCATTAGTTTGTTCCTAGCTTGGCTACTACGAAAGTTATGCGAGAAAATCTCTTCATTTCTAGCGCCGCCATTTTGACTTTTTTGACCCCTGTGACGTCATCTTTGACCTGACCTGAAAATGACCTTCGTAAAAATTGTAGATCCTGTCCGTGCGTACCACATGTCGTTTGCCGCTTGTCGCCAGCTTGCTTCGTTTTCGAGATCTCAGGGAGTGGGGGGCGCCCCCCCCCCCACCCCGTCGGCTTTAAATTGGCGCAGATCCCCGTCAGTGCGCGGGTTAAGGGCTCGACGATATTTGGTGAAATGTGGGTACGCATCACTCGTTGATTATCGCTTCTGTGGGCTCCGGGAAGGGAAGCTGGGGGACTGGGGAGGGTGTGTTTTGGGCTCTGGGGGTGGTGAGGGGTGTGTTTTTGGGCTGCGGGGGCGCGGGTGTGGCTGCGGGCTCCGGTATGGTCTATATGGTCTGTAGGTCTGCTTGGGGACGGTGGGCCGTAGGGAGGGGGAGTGGAGGTCACACTGCCACACTGACTCAGTGACCTTGCCCCTCAGTCTTTAAGGGTAGTCTTGGCCTTTTGGGTAGTCTTAGTCTTTCACTGCTCTGGTGGAAACTGTGTATATGAGACCGAGCTGGAGAGGCCCCGGTCCATCTCCCGTTACCTCCATGTCCCTCAGGTCTGACCGGCCCCTGCCCTCAGGTCCGACCGGCCCCTTCCCTCAGGTCCGACCGGCCCCTTCCCTCAGGTCCGACCCGCCCCTTCCCTCAGGTCTAATTGGCCCCTCCCTCAGGTCTGACCGGCCCCTGCCCTCAGGTCTGACCGGCCCCTTCCCTCAGGTCCGACCCGCCCCTCCCTCAGGTCTGACCGGCCCCTCCCTCAGGTCTGACAGTCCCTTCCCTCAGGTCTGACAGGCCCCTCCCTCAGGTCTGACCGGCCCCTCCCTCAGGTCTGACAGTCCCTTCCCTCAGGTCTGACAGTCCCTTCCCTCAGGTCTGACAGGCCCCTCCCTCAGGTCTGACCGGCCCCTGCCCTCAGGTCGGCCGGGTCGATGAGGACTCTGGGGAAGACCGGCTCAGCTGTGGAGATCTCCGTTCCCCGGCGGACCCCGCGGCACTTCTCGACCATAGACTCGGCCTACACGTCACAGGTCAGTCAAGGTCACAGGTCAGTGCAGGTGACAGTTCACAGGTCAGTGCAGGTTACAGGGCATGGTTAAGGGCAATGGGGTGCAGAATTAAGAGAAGACATACGTAGGACTGATCTGACGGGCTGGCGTGCCGCAGTGACTGCATTAAGTTAGAACAGGCGGTGGAATTGGAACAGGCGCGTCCCGTTGGAACACGGGCGCGTCCCGTTGGAACAGGCGCGCCCCGTTGGGACAGGCGCGCCGCGGTGGGACAGGCGCGCCGCGGTGGGACAGGCGCGCCGCGGTGCGACAGTTGCGCTCAGCCGCCCGCGGTCACCTCTGAGGGTGGTCCGGCCCCGTATCCTATTGGTGCGATACAAATACCGCTGCGCCGCCCTGCCTGCCGGGGGTGGTGGCCCGCCCGGCTGGGACAGTGAGGATCCGACGACCACTGGCCTCTGAAGAGGCGCGCTGACGGCCGCTGCACTGATTACAGGGCGGCCTGGCGGACTTCTCGCAGCTAGAGACCTCTGGCGGTAGTGTGCGCATTCAGCACCTGACCGGGGGGCGGCCGGGCGGCGCCGCCGCCGCCGGCGAGCCGCACGACTCGCTTATCGCGCCGTGCGCCCACTTCCACTACGAGCACGTCCACCTGCCCGGCCTGGAGGTCAGTGCGGCGGTCCGCCCGGCCTGGAGGTCAGTGCGGCGGTCAGTGCGGTCAGGTCAGTGAGGCGCAGCGACCTCACCGACATTGGCTCTGTATGATAAAATAAACATATTTTATCTTGTATGTAACCAACACTGTCTGTTGAGCATGAGTCGGAGACCGTGATGGGTGCCCAGCGCGCGCTGTCGGCTGTCGGCAGGTCTGTCTGTCTGGGGACCGCCGCTCTCCGGCCGCCGCCGCCGCCGCCGCCGGCCGCCGCTGGCTGCCGCTGCGAGTCAGCTGCCGAGGCAGCAGCTGGCCGCTGCGCCGCTCGCCGGAGCAGCTGCGGCAGCTGGACACCCAGCTGCACGTCTGCGTGTTCGACAGGAGGTACTCGAGGCTGCCCGACCTGCAGCGGTGGTTCCGCAGCGCGCGCCACCAGTCCACTGACCAGGTGAGTGCGGCGCCGGCCGGCGGGTCAACCAGGGCGGAACAGGAACTAACTCAGACACCAACAACTATGTCAAGGCAGCCGGTAGAGAGCAGATTAGTTTTAGCTCAGGTAGGTTATTTCAACGCTCTTCACTCTGAGTCTTGCCACCTTAATCCGCGCCGGGCCGGTGCTTCGCGACTTCCGCGCCGGGCCCCGGGGGAGGGTGTCTGAACAACCCTCCCCCGTCTAACTTGGTTCCTGGGCCACCACGTAGCGACACGCAGTAAGCGGCAATCCAAAGAGCATCAAAAATAACAGCCACTTTGGTCATTTTTTGGGTCAGGTCATAGGTCAGGTCGCCAGAGGTCATTAAATGTCAAATTTAGTTCATTTCAACTATTTTGGAAACTGCCAACGGCTAATTCGGGAACCAATAGAGGTACAGAGTCGCGGAAAAGCGCATTCGATAGCAATTTCAAAGGGGTTTCTTAATATTGTTCTCAGATTTGACCTCAGGTCAACGGTGTAGCCTCCGTAGGGTAAAAACTCCAAAAATAACAGTTTTTATGAAAAACGTTTTTCTGCAATAACGTTTAACTCAAGACAGCGAACACTTTATTTTGCCAGCATCGTGTTCCTGTCATCGAGACGCGTCGAATGAACTATAATTTGAACTTCAAAGGTAATTTTGAAAAGTTGACCTTTGGTCAAGGTCATGACCTAACTGGAAAGGGTCATGTTGCTTATCAGGCGATCAGTATTGTCGAGCTGAATGCATCTGACGTATTTTCATAAGTTGAGCGCGATTTTTCTCCGAGGACAACTTTGATGCAGGCAGAGTAAAGCCCGGTGAATGAACGCTGTTGGCATATGGATAATGGATATAATATAACACAAGGGCTTGAATTTATAATTTCATGGACTGAAAAAAAAAACAAAGGTTACAATACGCACTATAAAGATTTTAATGAAATGGACGTTTTTAGGGAAATCGATAATAATTTATAAGCTAAACGCAAAATAACTGGGCTTCAATGGTGGTGTGTGTTGATCGAGGCCCGTCTGGTCCTAATCGGTCACCCGACGGCCGACGCAGGCGCACGGGCAGCCGAGACGGGCGCACGGGCAGCCGAGACGGGCTCACGGGTAGCCGAGACGGGCTCACGGGTAGCCGAGACGGGCGCACGGTGTGCGCTTGGTGCGTCACGGCGTGTGTCTGTGAGCAGACTGTGAGCGGACTGTGAGCGGACTGTGAGCGGACCGGGAACAGGCCGGCCGGTCAGCGCTGAGTGGCCTGGCTGCCAGGAATCTGTGAATGTCGGTGTCTACTGCCCGTCGTGGGCCCGGAACACTTCTTGAATCACATGTAATCGATCAGAAAATAATCAATGGAATAAGTGCCCAGAGCGGAAGCCGACTTCACTCACATCAGAATGCACAGTCCAATAGTCTGGAGGGTTACCGTCAGCTGTATTTGAGCCGCGCCTCTACCACCTGGCGTACTTGGCGATCCGGCGGGGCAGGCGGACGTTGAGGCTGCGCGCGCCGCGCCTCAGCAGCACGGCCGCCAGCCCCAGTACCAGCACCAGCAGCGCGTTGGCCACGAAGGTGGCCCAGGCGACGGGCCGCCAGCGCCACTGCCGGCTGGTCACCTGGCGCTTCAGCAGGCGCGGGTCCTTCTCTGGCCGCACGGCGGCGCGCTGGTAGGGCATCTGGCGGTCAAAGTCCCAGGCGGGCTCCTCCTCGGCGTGCGCCAGCAGGTCACGCACCGGGTCGCCGTTCTGGTCCGTCAGTGGCAGGTGCTGCCGCTTGGCCAGCGGCAGGTCGGCCGGGTCGCGCGCGTGCTTCTGAACGGCCGCGTCGACGATGGCGGCCGGATCAGGCGCCGCCTTGTCGCATTTGAAGTACTCCTCTTTGCACTCTTCGAGCGCCCGGCGGCACAGTTCGTCATCGCGCGCGTCGCCCCAGCGCTGCACCGTCTGCATGAGCACGTTCTCGCTGGGCGGGTCGTTGGGGCCGCGCGCCCGCTCCACGCACTGCGCCAGCCGGTAGGCGCACACGTACAGGTGCGAGCGGCACTGGCCCAGGCTGATGAGCGCCTCTCGAAACTCGGCGTTCTCAAACACCTCCTTGAGAGGTGGCAGGTACTCGGCCCAACACGAGACGAGCACCAACAACAACAACGGAAAAACAAACCGAGACATGATTAAAAACGTAACAAAACGCTCAAATATCGATTTTCACGTATTCATGAAATAAGTCAGACAAGGAATTTAAGGAGACTTTTCAATATATCATGCGAAGAAAATGCTGTCAAAAAGAATGTAAGCTCATTAAGTCCAGCAAAGTATTTTGGAAAATTATAGTTTCTTAATTAAATGAATGAAATGTTCAAAAAAGTGATATCAGTGAAATCAGTCAGAAAATCAGTGGCTACTGCTGTTGCTGCCATGTTGTATGTGGTTATGACGGCGATCTCGTGAATCATTTCCATTCACACCTCTGATATGGCTACGGCAGTGGTGGGCAAATTAGTAGGCGCCATATTGCACGCATATCTATACCTAAGGGGAGCCCCAGGCCCATCAGCTGATTCAATATTCATGCCTCACATAAATCGAAGTAGCCACAGAAAGCGAACTCCTACATTCAGTGACAATGTACGGGCAGTGCCGTGCCAACTGTGCCAAATTGAAAGAAGTGAAAATGACCGATGAGCATTTGTTTATGTTTATGTTTATTTGCTCATCACCAAAAGGTACAGATAAAACCCGGTTACAGGTGAAGGTGGCAACATATTACAACATATTACAACAAGACAACATATTACAGGTGATTTGCACCTTTAACACGCGCAGTGGAAGGGGGGGGGGATTTCGCCCACCCCTCCTGTTTTTCGCCAATAACTCGTCCCGCAAGCATAATATCAATGTGAAGTTTCGGCTACCTGCCCAGCATTGAATTGCGGATCTTCTCGTGCAAGAAGTAAGAAAATCGGTTCACAACTTTTCTAGTAATAGCGGTGTAAAGTCAAACATCCTGCCGCCGCGGCGGCGCGGCGGCACGGCGGCGCGGCGGCCGGCGCTAGCCGTTACGCGCCGCCTGAATTGTAGACTGTGCCGGGGCGGGACGGTTCCGTCTTTACATTGCGCTCCTTACCGCTGATTATATTAGATTCGCGTCAAATTCGTTGAGAAGACTGAGAAATGTACAGGCAATCATATGGTCAAAGAATTTTGAAAATCGGCCGGTAACAACTTGAGTTATCAGGGCCTATTTTAACATGTTAACTGGGGGGGGGGGGGGCAAATGCCCCCTCACTCAACAGAATTGCCCCCCCAGTCGTCGAGATTTGCCCACTATAAAAATGGGCATAAAGGAATAGGGTGACAAACATACTACATACCTACTGTGACTTGTTTTGCAATGGATGTCAAATGAGTCAATCTGCAAGTAATGACCAGTGGTGGATCCAAGGGTGGGTCATATGGGTCATGACCCCCCGCCCTCTTGGGGCCCGGGGACATCACAGGCCTGCCAGGGGCACCACCCGCCTGTCAGGGACACCACAGGCCTGTTGGGAGCACCATCGACCCAGCAAGAGCACCATAGGTCTGCCAGGGGCACCACAGACCTGCCAGGGGCCCCACCGAACTCGCAGGGGCACCTTGGGCCTGTCAGGGGCACCACTGGCCTGTCGGGGGCACCACAGGCCTGTCAGGAGCACCATCAGCCTAGCAAGAGCACCATAGGTCTGCCAGGGGCACCACAGACCTGCTAGGGGCCCCACCGGACTCGCAGGGACACCACCTTGGGTCTGTCTGAGGGGTATTTACCACCACAGGCCCGCCAGGGGCATCACAGGCATGCCAGAGGCATCACAGGCCTAGCAAGGGCACCACGGACCTGTCAGCGGCACCACGGGCCTGTCGGGGGCACTTCAGGCTTGTCAGGCCCAAGGGACACCACAGTCCTTTCAGGGGCACCACAGGCCTGTCAGGGGAACCAGAGGCCTAGCAGGGACACCACATGCCTGGCAGGGGCACCACCAGCCTCGCAGGGACACCTTGGGCCTGTTAGTGGCACCACGTGCCTGTCGGGGACACTCCAGGCTTGTCAGGAGCACCACAGTCCTGTCAGGGCCCAAGGGCACCAGCGGCCTAGCAGAGGCACCACCGGCCTAGCAGGGACACCACCGGTCTCGCAAGGGCATCATGGGCCTGTCAGGGGCACCACGGGCCTGTCGTTGGAACTTCAGGCTTGTCTGAAGCTGACTTCACCTGTCATTGGGTTTTTACCTGTTGGTGATCAATACATCATACAATCATACAATCAGGGGCACCACAGTTCTTTCAGATGCACCGGCTGCCTAGCACCATGGCACCATGTTTGGCCGGGATCGCGATTCGGCGTATGTCGCCTCGCATTAGCCGCGCGTTTGCAGTCTTTTCGTGGTTTCAAACGTTCAAACATGGGATATGATGTTGCTCCCATGCATTAGGGTGGGTGTCAAGGTCACCGGAAGGTCAGGTCATTTACCTTTGATGACCTCGGTTCACATTTTCGAGTTTTATATGTTTCTAGGCTAGTTTTTGGAGCTGAATTCGAATTTAGCAACCATTTGACCGTTTACAAAGTAGTTTTGGTGCCTTTGTAACATGTTACGAAGCTGTCAGACGCGGTTGCCACCTACTACGAATACCCGACAAAACCCTTACTGGTTGAACTGACCTGACATGACCCGACCTGGCCTAAATGCATGAAGACATCATCTATGATCATAACTAACATGATATTCGTGATCAGCACCCCGAAAACAAACATAGTAGCCACCCTTTACGACGCTCTAACAGGTCCCGATTTTTCCGACTTTTGGGTCATTGACCTGACCTGGAAGGTGAACCGATGACCTAGGACCTTAAAATTGTGTATCATCTGCTTCCTCTCGTGACGGGCAACATGCTAGTTTTTTTCGCGAAGCTCTAGCTCGATCAGGGGCGAAACGGCAAGGGGGAGGGTCCAACGGACCCCCCCCCCCCATATACGTTCGCAGCTGGAAAAACACCACTACGGGCGAGGGTTAATGGATTATTAAAGACAATTTTCCAGGTTGCCCCCCCAGTAAAATTCCCTTAAAATAGGCTCTGTGAGTTATGAGTGTGTAAACACAAAATTGTGATTGCCGCGTTTCCCGCGTCGGCCGATGCCGCTTCAGCCGGCGACATCTTACCCTTAGCAGGCTTCTAAGTTCTAACTGCCATATTTATTGTTGGATTATCTAGAAATTCACCATACATACTCACGAATGTTTGGTCTTTTGTATAGTAAAAGATTAAAAAAATCGGCCGGTAAGTTTTTGAGTTATCGGCGTGTAAACGCAAAAAAGTCGCTAATATGGCAGATTTGATCACATTTGACCTCATTTGACCTTGAAGATATTGACCTAAGGTCATGAAATTCACACACAAAAGAGTTCCCCATGGCCCCCACCTACCCTCCAAATTTCGTCTTTCTAGCTCCAGTGGGAGCTGAGATCTTAGGGGGGGGGGGCGACATCCGCCCCCCCTTCCACTGGGCGTAGTACTCGCAACCCTTCCACTGCGCGTGTTAAAGAAAAACATTCCGAACTGGTGAATGGGTGGCTTATGGCCCGAGCGCTACACCAAGCGGTGCTTGTTGTGGATGACGCCACGGGCACACCACCCGCCGCCTTGCCCACGTCCGCTTCACCGGTGATTATTTTACGATCGTCGATCGTACGACGATCTTATGTATACCTATGTGGAAAGTACATCCATAACTATCTGACTTCCAGTCCTAGCATACCTATCTCAGTTGGGGAAACTACGAGGCGAGGATCCAAAAATGGATCGGTCAATAAATAGACTTTTGATGACCATATATGGGCATAAATGCAGGCGTCGCTACTAAGGGTGAAA